GTGCTCTGTACATCTTAATGAGCACAATATACATACAAAATAGCCTTCCTAGAACATCCCACATGTGCACAATGTTTACTTTGATTGATTGACTGAGCAAATAAGAAATTAGTCCCCAATTCAGTAAACAAGACCATCTCGTCTCCTCTGACCTTAATCACGTTTTTTAAGATGCAGAAAACTCCTCATGAACTGACCAGATACATTTAACTAGTCCACCAACAACGACAATAACTACTGACTTTTTCCATCAGTTTACAAGAGCAAAGTTATAGAACACTTAAATAAATCACAAAACATTATTGCTAATCAATATGCTTTACATGAAACAACCTTAAAGCTTGACTCCAGATTAAAAACTCTTTGCTTACCGCAGCTGGACACTTGGTAGTCGCGCAGAAAAGACATCAGGGAAACAAGCAGAAGAATAAAATTCAACAACATTGTTCCTTGGTAACTGCTTCAGTATATATGTATTTAAATAAAAAAAAACTGTAAATGAATACGGTCAAACATGAAATCCAGAGGTGGTCAGACCGTGAATGCTTCATATGAGCTTCCTTTCATGCTTTTCTATTGTGGGAGAACAATGGTGGCAACGCAGCCTGTTTTCACACCACACATCCTCTCTAAGGTTTTTTTTTTACAGTCTTGGCTTCAACTGAGGTTAAAGTGAAAGTAGTCTGAAAGTCTGAAGTCTGTCTCCAGAGGCAGTCCCGGTTCACACATCCTCCTCCCACCCCCTCTCAGTCCATGTCAATTCAACATTACATTATTGAGTCTAGACTGTGTTAAAAAGGTAAAAGTTCATTCTAAATATATTTTATTTACCTTGCCTGCCAGTTAACCAGAAACTCGCTAGGATAGATACACATTTCCTGTTTCCTGTTGAGACCTTTTTCACAGCAGATGATTTGCCGGACGGGAAAAAGTAGGATCAGCCCCACAGATATTATAGTTACAATCTGATTACACACAATGAACGAGCTGAGAGGAGCGATACATCAGGGGCTAAAAAACAAAGCCACACTCAAGTGCCAAAAACTGCAGTTTCTTGAATGGCCACTTAAGGTTCCTCGAGTGAGTCAGTCCCCTCAACCTCCATGTTAAAATGTGCAGCTGAAATAAACATGGTTACAGCCGCGTACACAAAGCTGTTGTGGTTTCTATATCCAATTTCCCTGTCTATGAAAACTGCGTGTGTGGTGAATTTTAATATAACTTAGCTGTTTAAATTGTATTGAGGCTTAAAGTTATGCATAATTAGGGGTGTGGCAGCTTTGAGTGACAGGTGGGTGCTGTAGCAGTATGGTCCATGGACCAGAGATGTTTACATGTCCTGCCTCAGCTTCACTCATTTTTGAATTATTCAGGAGTACAAAGAACTTGGGGACTGCCAAGATGGCAACAGCAGGAGCCATTGCACTGATCTTCAAAAAATGCTGTACAAGAAACCTACTGTATATGTGATGTCAGCGGAGGGTTCATCCATCTATATATACAATCACTGGAAACAACATNGCACTCCTCCTGCTCTACTCCTTGTCACTTCTTCCTCTTCCCCAAAATGTAATTCAAATTGAAAGGCTATCATTTTGACACAGTTTAGGGCAGTCAGTGCTCACTACAGATGGTGCTTGACATGTTTACATAATGAGACTTCTAGGGAGTGTTCCAAGTGTTGCAGGAGCACGAGGAGCGGTGCATTGCTGCACAAAAGCAATACTTTAACCGGGATGGAAGCCAAATTTGAATCAGATAAGTTTTGTATTATATTTATACTCACATATTTTACACTAAACGGCTCCAAGTTGTTTCATGTTTATAGAACAAACAAGAGTGCAATATAAATCAGTCAGATGTGACTGTTCCTGTAACACAAATATACACAGTAAAAGATAAGAACAGGAAAACCAAAACTTAACTCTTGTGCTTGTGTTGTTATTTTTGCCTGTTAACAAGGTTTTGTTTGTTGACAAAATTAAAAGTTTGTGGGTTTTTTTTTGTCAGACTCACAGTAGACTGTGGCAGTGATGTTTTCTGAAGCCACCACTGGAGGACGTTGTGGTCCTTCAGGTCCCAGTTCCAGTTTGGCTTCACACCAGTACTGGGCTCCGTTATCTTCTCTACTGATGTTAATATTCAGAGTGAAGGTGTCGCTCACTGGTTTTTGTTGTGTAATGCTGGACTTTTGTTGGTCCAGTGCCGTCTGTCCTCTGTAGAAGGTCACAACAAGGTTCCCAACAGGAGCTACGTTCTCTACAGTACACTGCAGAGTGTACTGGTCGTGCTCAAACATCGGCCCAGTGTGATTTATAAAGCTGAAGGACACACTTTCTGGAGGCTCTGGAGAGAAAAAGACAAAGATGTCGAGCGAGACACACAAGGCAACTGTGACTGTATGTTTTCAACACATAAAGAGATCAAATTCTGTAAATCAAAGATGAAACCTTCATTAGAAAGAGTATTTTGTTAATCAGCAAGTTTACTTACGGTAGACGATTACAGGCAGGGTGCTGCAACACTGCTTATTAGTATTAGTGTTGTAATAACAATCTGGAGATGGATCCCATTCGGTCAATGAGCCAACCGTCCACAACAACGTGGTTCCGTTTCTTGTGACGTCTCCCACAGATTTTTCCAAATCAAATAATGTGTTCTGGCAAGCACTCTTACATGCAACGCATTCAGCCGAGGCTGAGTCACC